AAGCTTTAAGCTTAAGCTTAAGTTTATTTTGTTTTACTTTCAGCCGGCCGCCCGGTGCCACGGTTTGTTTTTTTTTTTAAAGATGAACTCCTCGAAGCAAGAAAATCACTCAAAGTTTTCTTTCTACAGCCAAATTTATAACTAAATATTCTTCGGAACGTTTTTTTTCTATATGCCCTGAGAAAATATATCTGAAGGCCTTTTAAAGTTCTGTAAGCTTATATCAAACCTGATACTAGATCAGATCATTGACTCAAAACTTTAACAAACGCGCAAAAACTTGCCGCATAAACTGTGCTCGACTTCATGAAATTAGATATAACAAAAACAAACATCAAATACAATAATTACTCAGGCTTACCATTCGAGATTCAGTTCCTGAAAGATATCAAGGAAGGCCATAGTTGCTTGAGACTTTTAAACCCTCTTACGCATTGAGCAGGGTGAAAGACGAAAACGAAGCCATCCGAAATCGGATTACCCAATTTTGACGAGCGACGCATTTCTCAACCAAAAACCCAATAAACAAACCAGCCATGGATAACAGAAGACTCTTGATAGCAGCTATATTTCATTTTTTTTACATCCAGTGGAAAAAGACAGTTTAAAACATCACAAGTTGACACAAAACTCTGTCAGCTTTAGCTGTCAAAGTAAACAACTTTCAAGATGCTGCATAAATTTTCCGCATGAACTCACCTGTCAAATTTTGACCAATCAAAGTACAAAAATTGGACGTAGAGCGTGACCAACGCGTGACCATGGTAAGAAAAGGTCTTCCCCGCCTTTATTTTCAAAAAAGTGGCTGAATTTTCGCTTCCGAGGTCAGTTTGAAATCAAGATCTTGACAGTGCAGGGCCATAGTGACATAAACACGACATATTTCATATGAATCATTGGAAAAAATAGACTTGAGCCTGCGATCATTTGAAACTGGTAATTTGTCAGCGGATAACTTCAAAAAAGTACTCGACCTCGATGGGTCGACACTTGAGCCCGCGCTACGGTCAAGTGATAATGGTCAGCGGATATCCTGTTTTGACAGCTGTCAATTGATCACAACATTGATGTGCAATTAGTTTTCTATTGGGCTACCAAACTAGCTAGAAAGTGTGAGAGTAAACATTGGTTTTGCCTGTGGTGCGGACGGACGGTCGGGCGTACGGTCACGTGATTACAAAATTTTCTCGGATGGGTAGATTACCACATTTCCTTAGCTATGGGGCTCCGTCCACGCGCGCGCTTCGCGCGCGGGTGGAGCTCCGCTATAAATACCTTGAATAGTAAAGCTAAAAAATATGTATAAAAATCTTACAATAAAGTCGACTTCATTGAAACTTTAAGAGCTTTATGCGCAACGCTGGGACATAGCATAAACAAAAGAGCGTCTGAAACGTTCCGTATGGGGACGTGGCAAATTATATAAATTTTGACGGCTTAAATTATAGCTGGATTGTTTTCTTGGTGGCAGCAGGTGGTATAACTTATGTCCGGGATTGATAACAATGGAATAGAACAATCGTCTACATAGTCCGTTGCGTCTATCATATAGCGTTGACAGGTCTAGGCTATCAAGGCATTCCCGATATGACATGGCAGGTGACATTATGGAAAGCGCTCTTTTCTGAATTCTTTCTAGCAATATCCTCAATAAGATAAGCCGGGAGTGCGTGATGGAAAACCGGAGCGCAGTATTCTAGTACTGGTTTAAACTTAAAACTTATAAAAGTTAACTTAAAACTTAAAAGTTTCTAGTGCAGTGAGCCAAGTTGAAAGTGTACTCCGCACAAACAGTAGAAATACAATAAAAAAAAGTTATTCTGTCCACAAATGAGACTTAGTGATGAAATTATATTAGAAAAATCAATGAGGGGTTATTATTTGCATACTACCGTAGTATTATTTGCAAGCTTTTATGTAATTACATGTACAGTTTGGTACGAAAAATTTGCAGTCTCAAAGTCAAACTCTTTTGCTACATCATAGTGTTTATCATAATAATTTCAACTGTAACCCACAAATGAGAACCTGTTTGATCTTGCTTGGCGAAACAGATATATTTTCAGGTATTAAAATGGCAAATTTCTACCAGCAGGTGCTTAAACCACTAGTTTCTTACTTGCAGGTTTTTACAGGACCACTATGTCCACGTCCGTCACTATACTACCATCACCAGGGCTATGTTTTTTGTTCCAACAAATTTGACCGGGTTGTGAAAAAGTACTGGGTAAACTTAAGACTTGCCCAACCAAAGCGATAATTCTTTTGGAATAAACAAAACATGGAAAATAATAGCCTGAACTTCATCCGATTACTTCGATTCGTTATTACTCCCTCAGTAACGTCTGAATTGACCGGTCGTTAATGCCGTCCAGTGACGTCACTCACTACCCGAAAACGGGGTAGCGATTTTGATTGGTTGATTGGCTAAACATTCGCATAATTATTTATAAAAACGAAAAATTTTAGCGGGATTGTCGCTTGATATTCAGCGGATCGCATCCCTGGCATTCTTTTGTGTAGTTCAAACATTTCGATAAGCTTAATCTTTATGTTAAACAGCAAAATTGCACTTGTCTTCGAAACTGAAATGCTAAATTGATCTGCGAATGAAGAATCATTGCGTAGAGTCGGTAGGTCTTTTATTTAGAGCGCCGCTTTGTGATTTCGGCGGCGGGGGATTTTGTTTATGCGAAGCTTTCTGAGATCATGCAATGTTATAATTCGACCTTCTTGCTATTTTCACCGTCAGGTGTAATGATTCTGTTAGCTTTTCTTTCTTGTTTCCTTGTTTTTTTCTTCGTTAAGGACCAAATAGCTTCTTTTCAATTAAAGCAAATCATTGTGTTTTTGAACTAAGTATTCTGTGTGTGTGTTTTATTTCATTGCGTGATTGCGAACGAGTTTGGTTATAGAACTACGACCTGTTCAGAGTTGTACTGCAAGCAGTTGATAGTTTGAACGTTCAACATGAAGTACGATCGCAAAAAATAAAGCAATTCTGTGTGCAGACATTTCCAAACGATGTTTCTCGGTTTGCCACTTGAAAATCGTGTTTTACTTTTTGCATGAACTAGAGAAAAGGGCAAGGAGTAGTGACGTCACTGGACGGCATTAACGGCCGGTCAATTCAGACGTTACTGAGGGAGTAATAACGACTCGAAGTAATCGGATGAAATTCAGGCTAGGAAAATAATTAACAGCAATACTTACATGCACGTATGTTTGCATTGAAATCAAACTGTTTTGTACCTGATTCTTCAATATTGCATGCTGGAAAGTTTGTTAGATGTGGGACATACCACACAAGTGAATACCGCGAGTCTTCTGTTGTCTCAAAACAGTAAAGGTTGGATCAAAGGTTGGAGTATGTGATAAATGCAAAGGATAAAATCCAAATTTTTTACACCTGATTCTTTAATATTGCATGCATGGTAGAATGTTTGTTCATGTAGGACATATCACACATTAATTAGTGAAAACTGCAAGGCTTCCATTGTTCCAAAACAGTGAAGGTTGGAGTGTGTGATGAATGCAAAGGATAGAGTCAAATGCTTATATTTACCATTCATTAAACGTGTTTTAATGTATAATTTAAAAAATTATGACAGTACGGAAATATGAGTTCTTCTTTCCTTTTCCCTGGGATGCTGCATGATGAAGTGTACTATGTTCAAGTTGTGTTTATAGTGCATGGTTAAAATTAAATCACTTTCACTTTTTGAATTCAGCAAATTTTATCAAATTTTACGCAGAGTGGTCTTGATTTTGTCACGTAAAACTATTTTTGTTTTCAGCGTAAATGACCGTTCAATTCAGGTCCTGGCGTCACACACTGTGGGGGCATGTTTCATGCAAATTGCAGATTTGTTTTAACCTGATAAAGAAAAATTTAACAATACAAATCAGAGCAATGTTTTCTTTCCTTCCTTTTCACCACCTAATATAATCAGACCATCACTTGCTGTCATGAATTTGACCCTAGCTTTGCCCAAATTTTAATGGGGTACCCCCCACTTTGCTACACTATACGTTGGGAAAATATGGTGCCTTTTGAACAAAACAATTACACCTACAAAAATAACATTTTTTCATAATTTGTTGTGCAATCCACTATTTAATCCTTTTCAATTTCTGATTATCTTACACGCAGTACCGACATCAACACGTCTAGGTATCGATATAATTGTAACAGTTAGATCAAGTTACAATTTTGGAAGACAAAACTCATTTCTTTATAGTTGGGAAGAATTTAAGCCGGGGGGAGGGTGCGGCTACACGTAGGCTGTCAAGCCGGGGGATTAAAGCCAATCAGGGTTAAATAATGGTATCAAATAAACCCTGTCAATTACTATTAGCAGATATAGTCAGTTGATTTAAGCACCTGAGAAAACACAGGAAAATGAGCCTCTTGAAAGTAAACCACAGATATAACTTTTAAAACAAAATTAGATAAGTAGAATTTTTTATAGTTTATCAGTGTTAGTTTGCTTATTTTACTTTCCAATACTTTCATACTTTCAGGATACTCAGTAACTTGTGGTTGGCCTACAATGGAGGAAAAATTAAAATCCCTATTTTTGAAACTTCAGGATGTTTTTCATCCTGAGGTTGGATGTGAAAACACTGGGACAAAAGAGAGAGCTAAAATTTATCGAACTGTTCCTGGTAACCTGGCCGTTTCCCAAGAGGATAAGTGTGCCTTTAAATCATTGCTTTCCTATGTTGAGGAGACCATTTTGAAACCACTGAGTGACAGCCAAGCTGAGCTCCTAGTTCTAACTCGCTTTGAGGATGACGATCTAAACCAAGTGAACTACATGTCAGTCCTAAGTTCTTTTGGATTTGCCCGAGGTGACAAAACTTCATTGGAAATGGTGAAAAGCTACATAAAAAATCATTGTGACCAATGCTATCCCAATTCTCCCCTTCTGATGAATAACCTTGGGGTGATGTTCAGTGAAAATGCACTTTATGAGGAGAGCGAAGATTGTTTTAATATGGCCAAGGTTTACTGTCAACATGAGGACAATATTAAAGATGCAGTAATTACTTTGAATCAAGCAGTTCTGAAGAAGATCTTGGGTAAATACAAAGAAGCGGCTAATCTTGCTACCACTGCAGCTTCCTTGTGTGATGACACCTCTATGAGAACAACAAATTATACTCAACTACCAGTGAAGTTGCTGGGAAGAGCTGCTGATATGTTACAAGAGTTTGGAAACCAACAAATGTTGAAGAAGATTCTGAGAACTGCTGTTCACTTTGACATCCCAGGTGCTGACAAAGCTGTTACACCTGTTTTATCCAGGCAATTGATGAAAATCCAGCTTGAGGGAATGGATAAAAAAATTGAAGCCAAAGAAGTGAAAGATTTTATCTCCCATTTTCTTGCTTTGCCGGCTAAACCAGATGCTTTTAAGATGTCCATGAATGCTGAGTTCATAAGAACTGTTATCCAGGCAGCAAAGATTTGTCGCAATGCTGGTCAAAGCAAAGAAGCTTGCGAGTTATTAAAGAAGTTGCAAAGTATTCTCCTTCTTGTCCATGGTGAAAATAGTTTTCTCTATGGATCATTATTATACCAAATGGGCCTCTTCCTGCATGGCTCCGGAAGGTTTAATGATGCTGAGACTGCATTGAGGCAGGGTGAAGGTATCTTGATTTGTTATTGTGTAGAAAATCATCATTCAGTTGCCTTGTGTCGGAAAGTCCTGGGTTCCTGTATTCTGCTAAAGGGCAATGCCAAAGATGCCTCAGAATACCTAAATAAGGCCTTGACAATTTTCAAGAAGCTAAGTCCCTTTCATCCAGAAGTAGGAGAGATTCTTTTGAAACTTGCCTTCTTGTATTCTGAAGAAGGATTAAGTTTTCAGCAAACCCAAGAAACCTTGCAAGAAGCAGAAGCTATTTTCAAATTATCCTGTGGTGAGGTATCTTGCAAGACAGCTAATGCATACTTTCAAGTAGGAATGATCTTGCAGAGGTTTAAACAGTTCCGTTTGGCAGCTGTTAAGAAAATACAGAAAGGCATAGATGTGATGTTAAATCTTGGATTGAGTTTAAATCATCCTGATGTCATGTTTTGGAGCAGTTTTCTGGGCGTCTTAAAGCAGTCCTTGGGCATGGTGAAAGAGGCAGAAAAGTGCTTTATTGATGTCCAAAACAGTGTTCCCTTTTGTGATGAGCCAGGCAGCAAGGAAACAGAAATCCGTACATCCGAAGACTGGTTCCTACACTACAGAGACAAAGCTGTCGATAGAAGTGACAGATCTTCATCAGTGACAGCTCAGGTAATGGACCAAGTAATGACAAGTAATGGACCATTGGGGGCTAGGGACTGGGAGAGGGAAGGTGCTAGACCAAAGCAGGTCAGCAAGAAGGGTCGTTCAGAGGTGATGCAGATAGCAAGTGAATCCCCTGTCCCACCGTTTGATGCTTTTTTGGCAGAGAGCTCAAATGATTCATCACTATCTCAAGGAGGACGTGTTGAAAGAACTTCAACGGAGAGGGAGCAACGTGGACAGTTTGAGAGAAAAATGACCTGCCAAGAATGGTTGACAAGAGAACAAACGGCTAGAAAAAGAGACGAGAGGAATGATAGGGACATGCAAGATGCTGCAAGGAGATCAGAAGAAGAAAATGCTGCTGCGTCAGAACAGTCGACAGAGAGTCCAGTGTTTTCAGAGACCTCCTTCGTTGAACTATCATTGAGGGAAGAGGAGAGACGTGAACAGGTTGTAGGGAGAAGCAGCGAACAGAGGGCCAGAGAAGGAATAAAAAAACAAGAACGTGAGATGAAGGAAGCTGGAAGTTGGCCACAACAAGGGGGAACTACATACTCACAACAACTGCATGAGAATTATGACAACCAAAGTAAATCATCTTCATCCAGCACCCAGAGTGACAAAATAACTGTGGAAGACATGTCCTTTGTACAACAAGATGCTTTTCTAGATGCAAAAGTGACAGGTAATAGACCATTGGGGGCAAGGGACTGGGAGAGTGAAAGTGATAAATCACAGCAGGTCAGCAAGCAAGGTCTCTCAGAGGTAGTGCACATACCAAGGGAACCCCCTGTCCCACAGTTTGGTGCTTCTTCTGTAGACAGCTCAAATGACTCATCCCTTTCTCAAGAACAACATGTTGAAAGAACATCAAGCGAAAGGGAGCAAGGTGGACAGTTTGAAAAGGAAATAAACTTCCAAAAATGGATAATAAGAGAAAAGGGAGCTGGAAAAAGAGGAGAGAAAAAGGAAAGGAAGATCCAAGAATCTAAAAGGACATCGCAGGAAGAAAATGCTGATGCTGTTTGAGAACAGTCGACAGAGAGCTCAGTGTTTTAAGAGACCTCCCTGGTTACACCATTATTAAGGGAGGAGGCGAAACGTGATCAGTTTGTTGCACGAAACAGTGAACGGAGAGCCAAAGAAAGGACAAGAAAACAAGAAAGGGTTGTACGCGAAGCTGGAAGCTGGCCACAACAAGAGGGAACTACATGCTCTCAGCAACTGCGTGAGAATTATGACAACCAAGGTGCATTGTCTTCATCCAGCATCCAGAGTAACAAAATTGTGCAAGAAACTCCTTTGTTACAGCAAGGTGCCTTTCTAGAGGAAAAAGTAACAAGTAATAGACCATTGGGGGCAAGAGACTGGGTGAGTGAAGGTGCTAAACCAAAGCAGGTCGGCAAGAAAGGTCGTTCAGAGGTGGTGAAGATAGCAAGTGAACCCCCTGACCCACGGTTCGGTGCTTCTTCTGTAGACAGCTCAAATGACTCATCACTTTCTCAAGGACGACGCGTTGAGAGAACTTCAAGGGAAAGGGACCAACGTGGACAGTTTGAAAGAAAAATTAACTGCCAAGAATGGAAGATAAGAGAACAGAGAGCTGCAAAAAGAGGAGTGAGAAGGGAAAAGAAGATGCAAGAATCTCAAAACAGATCACAAGATGAAAATGCTGCATGCTCACAGCAGTTACGTGACCAATGTTCATTGAACACATCCAAAACCCAAGGTGGCATTGCGGAAAATATCCCTTTATCACAGCAAGATGCCCTTGCAGATGCAGGGACACCATCAGCTGCAACTGATCGAGAACGTGATGGTTTAACTGACGAGTTTTTGGCAAGACACACCCAAGACATGTCCCTTCGTGGTAGTCTTAATCAGCATTGGCACAGATATGTCATTGCCCCCTGACATTTCAGCACAGGGAACTTCTTATACTGACGGTTACTTTAGGGATAGCCAAAATCGATACCACTCTGATCCCGAGCAGAGCGCAGGACAAAACCCAACTTTGACACCTGGAAATTTAAACAGTGCAGCAGACAATGAGAATGCAACAAATTATCCACGTGGATATATACTGAACCAGTCTGTGTCTGTTTCCAGTACTGATTTTGCTCTTGGATCGGGAACCAGACGTCAGCGGCCAATACACTTTTCCTTACCTAATGCAGTTATATCTGCTGCTGAAGTGGTGGCCCAGGAAGACGCACCTGTTGATGAACCATGTCATGGTGGTGGGAACATCACCAGAGGTGCTCCCATAAGAGATTATGTTCCTGACTCTCTAGACACTACAGGCAGCTCATTGACATGGGAACCGCATCAAAGGGACACATCTCAGCAATATTCCAGAAGGGTAAGTGAAACATGGCCAATTAGTGGAGAACTTGTGATCCTCTATCTCCTCAATGTGCCATAAGAGTGTCGGTTCCATTACTTTGATGAGAAAGAAGGTTTGCCAATTAATTATAATGTCTGTGATGTTGTGCCTTTGTATCCTGTTCAATTTATGATTCTGCAGCACCTAAAGAGGCTTTTTGGCAGCCAAGGCTGAAATAAGTGGCCATAAGCATTATGATTTTTATCTCAAAACTGCCAGAAGTTCCACTTTCCCTGAGCGTGATGTGAATTAAAAGATGTGAAATAAAGTAAAGTAAACTGAAGTAAAGTAAAGAAAGAAAAAATAAATTAATGTTAACGTAAAATAACGTTAAGTAAAGTAAAAGTTTTTCTGCTGCAGAAAAGGCTTTTTACATTTTCACGACTAGCTAATTTCTGCACAGAAAAGTTAACACTTGCTAGTTGATTGAAGTCTATTAAAGATGGCATAGTTTATTACTAAATTTTGTAGAAATGCGCGCGCGGTGGTGGATTGTAGGGAGAACCCCGGGCCCCTACCTTATTTTTGGACTCAACTGAAACCCTCAAAGCCGAGAAAAATTCTTTTCCGAGGATGGGCCCTCTCATTATCTTAGAATTTGGTTTAGCTCCCCCCACCAACTTAAAGAGATCTGAATCTGCTACAGCAATGTCTAGACAATACTCTTTTCTGACTGTCATTGCTGCTGTCTGCTTTTGATAAAGGTATCCACCGTGAATTGTGAGTGGTGCGGCAGCTGTCTTTATGAGCAGCGAGAGGGGACAGCTCACCAGTGTCATGGAGCTGAATGTCATTTTTGCCTTGGGGTAAGTTGGAAATTTTGTCAGTGATGACAGCCTTCACAAGTTAAACTTTTTAACCCAATAAAACAATTGACAAAAGATCTGATTTGATTACCAAAGGTTAACAGCTCAGATGATAAATAAAAATAAATTAACATTATGGACTCGTTCGCTTTATCAATGTCTGGGTTGCTTTACCTTACAACTTAACATTACCTCTTGTTCTTTTCTTAATACTTTAGGAGAGAAATTAAAGTTTCCTTTTTTTCTAGGGCAAATTACAAACTTGTGTGGAAAATAAAATTGACTTATCCATGTCAGGAAAGACTATTAACTCAGTAATCTACCCGCGATGTCTTTTAACATGCTGTAATTTTGTTATCATTTCTTGTGCTGTATGTGGCAATGTAAAAAGCTCCATGGCCTACTGATATATTGATTTTAGTGTTGTTCTTAGTTGATAGATCCCTCCATCAGATGCCGCGTATTTCCGTGTGGGCATAAGTTCCACATCACATGTGCTAATGACTGGATTCTACGAGGCCAGTAAGTCTCTCAAATTCTCTAATTCTTTACATCCATCCATTCTTTGCTGCGTTTGGAAACGCTTTATTAAAATAGTCCGCGGATAAGTATGTTAAAGGCAGTTAAATGTTTAAAGAAATTAAGGCCAAAGAAATATTTTCTTTTCTTGCTATGTTTTTACGTAGTATTTCCGCTATTTTTTCTTCGCAAAGCGTGTGAAATTTTCTTTTCTATTTTCTAGCTCAACCAAAAAGCTGCGATAATGAAACTCTGCCACAGGGTTTCTCCGTTGCCGTCCCTTTTTTTGTTGATGCTGTACTCTTGACGTCATATTGCTTGATATCGCCAATTTCTTCCAAATTTTGTTAATGCGAGCTGGTTATGAAGAATTAACGTGGGACCTGAGCCAATCTGAAATAGAAAAATGTTTTGAATGAATAATAACTTCTCTTAGGTCTGTAATATGGACGCAACACAGATTTGATGACTAACAATGTAATACATTATAAATAAACAATCTTGTGTTTACCTCTTTACAGTGACACCTGTCCAATTTGTGGACATCCTTTGATCTACCAACCTTCCCGCTGAAAGAATAAGCAAGAAATGAAGGGATGTTATTCTAGCAGATATTGCAGTCTTCATCCGTTGAGTGGTATTTTGTCTGTTTGTAGCTCTGACATTTCGTCTGTGTATATCACCGTGTGAAGGGACCTTTTTCACGATACTAGCTATCTTTGTACGCGTTTAAGGACTGATAGGATAAAACAATTTTATAATACTTGGTTTGGGCAAACCCCTTAAATACCACGTGACTTTGCTTTTGTCCCATTAATCATTCTTCCGCCATTTTCGCCAGCTTTGGTCAACGCTAGCTGGTTAGAAGATTTAGGCCTTACTGAAATCGTGAAATAGTTTGAATGAATTAGAGACTCATTCTTTAATTTTTTTTGCCAGCTAGTATTGTCCAAATTTGGAAGGTGTTTGTTGTTAAGGGCCTATCCGCATTTTGGGGAGCAAGGGTGGCGCAGTAGTGAGAGCACTCGCCTCCCACCGATGTGGCCCGGGTTCAAATCCCGGCGTCGACGCCATATGTGGGTTAAGTTTGTTGTTGGTTCTCTCCCTTGCTCCGAGAGGTTTTTCTCCGGGTACTCCGGTTTTCCCCTCTCCTCAAAAACCAACATTTCTAAATTCCAATTCGACCAGGAATCAGGTAGACGAAGAACCACTATGTGGATCTGCTACCTGCAAATCGTTATCTATTTATTTATTTATTTATTTAAACATGCACATAAAGAATTGTCTTTGAAACATCTAAGCCAAAAATTGTATGGTGATCATTCATCCGCACTGGAAACTATTTACTCCAGAACAGGCCGTTACATCTCACAAACTTCGTGACTGTTAATGGAAAAAATAATGGCTTAACAACAAATGCTTTACAAGAAAAGCACATTTTTGTTTATTTAGTCGATTTTTTTCCAGTTTTTACCCCAAGGCAAATTTCTGCGCGGAGCCTTTGAAGATTGTCTGTTCTCAAACAAAATTTGAAAAAACGCGAAAAACCATCCGCATTTGTTAAGAGTTGATGATGACAAAATTTGTTTCAATAACAACTTTTGTGTGCAGATAGGCCCTAATTTACGATTTTGAAGTCGTACAGTGGTTCAGCCTGAAGGAGACCCGAGGGGGTGCTCCCTATAATGGCCTATACGGGCAGGTTGCGCAAAAAAGGGGTGCATTTTTCTGCCTTTACGTATATGAAAACGTACTAGTTTGAGCAAATGAAAGGGTAGGAAAATGTTCATTTCGGTCCGTAAAGCACCAAAAAGGGCGAACATGTACATTTTAGGACTGTGAAAGAGACAAGAAAACTTCGTGGTTTTAGCGATTTATTCAAAGGTTTTTTATTATTATTTATTTTTATTATTATTTATTAAGCGGACGCGGACACTAAAATAAATTTCATTTGGCTAATTTCTATTGTTAATAACCTCTATTAAGGGACGGACCATTAGAAAACTTATGGGGGGGTAGGCGGGCGAAGTACAAAAAAAATATTCGCGAAAGGGAAATTAAATGAAAAAAAATTCTTGCACGCCAATTAATCCTAAAAAATATTCATGCTACGGCCTAAAAAAAATTCCTGCGGCTCGAAAAGGTCCGGTTAATGCATTTTTTAATATCACTCAAATGGAAACAAAGTTTTTTCTTAACACGTAAACGGAAGAATAGTTCAGAGAATTAACAAGAATACCAGAGTAATTTGTTGATGTAAACGATTGTGACAGTATAGACTGCGATCAGTCTCTCGTTTTCTTCAGGTTTAGTGAGGGAAGTGCAAAGCCGCGAAATGTCAGAAAAGAGGGTAGTGACCTCCCGCGGCAAAGAAATGTACAAAAATAATTCATAAAAAAGTGTGATGCATTGGCAAATTAAGGATTTGCTTGTGTTTTACCAGCCCTATTCATTGTCATCCCTTATCCTCTTTCCCGTCAACTGTATTTTGTGTATTTGGCTGTATTTTGTACTTGGGTATCGTGCCTGATACCGAATTTCCACGTAAGAGAAGAGTCAATTGTCACTGCAGTATTCTACCGATCTTTTTTAAATTTGTATGCTTAGCTTCGCCAATTTTTGGCCTGGTTATCGCAACGCCATGACTCCAATTACTGCGGGCCCGTAACAGTTCCTACCACACCGGATACTACGTTCCTTACTCTTTTCGAACAATGTTTGGGTTCTCTAAAATCCAGCAGAATTTATTTGCCCAAAGGTTGTGAGACGGGGCCTACGGTTTATCGTCCTTATCCGTTTGCAGATGCGTTCTTTACAAAGGCAGCACTTTCTTCAGTACGTCAAGTATGTCATAGCATAGTTTGTGCATTTTCAATGCCAAAACGTTCAAACGTTACGCACATGGCTTACCATCTGATAACCTGATTGACGAGAAAACGCATGACTACCTAATCAAATAGGGGCCAGGCCCATCTCTAATGGTCGCCCCATTATATTTGTTACTGATCATCCGAGAGAAAGAATATCTGAATTTGTTGACTACCATTTGAATCCTGAAGCTCCTAAACTCCCATCATACATTAACGATACCACTCACTTTTTGAATAAACTTTACTCGCTAAAAGACATACCGGTCGACGCTACTGTTGTGACTCTGGATGTACCTTCGCTCTACACAAACATTCCGCACAGTGATGGGATAC